GGATGGAAAAAGAAACATCTAATCTAATCCATACAGGCAATTGCACATCTACAAAAAAGCAACTGATAATATTCGGGTAAGAAAACAGTATCCAAAGAATTAAAACTGAATCTTACTCTTTCATTTAACAGAAAATGTGTTGCAATAACCGCATTGTTAAATAAACAGAACCCCATAGCTTCATCTTCTTTGGCATGATGCCTTGGAGGTCTAACGACTGCAAAAGCAGAATCCAACTCCTTTTTGGCAACCCTCTCCGCTACCTATTGGATAAAACAACCATATGTAGCCTTTCAACTTTCAAATATAAATTGGCTTATAATGAGTAACAGAACTTTACCGAAAATTATTCTTGAAGTTAACAAGTTGGTCTGTTGATACCCAAACATTTGAAAGTTCAAACATACACACTGATAATGATAAACCTGATATCACACGCTAAAGAATCATTAAAAGTAAAGTAAATCGCAAAATAATTAATCCCTTAGATATTATAGCTTAACGGAGTATAATTTTTGTATTTTCGGAGAACTAGGGTTATGGATTCTTGATACAAAATATTTTTCATCCTCCGTTTTCTTAATTTTTTTATTAATTGGTATTGGAACTCGTTATCCCTACAACAGAACATATGAACAAAAACAAAATGCTGTATTTATCACCGAAAACAACTGTTGAGCATTTTGCTAAAGAAATAGATTAAGTAACATTCATGTTATGCTTTTTCTTTCAAAAGATATGTTTTTGAATCCGAAAAGTTTAAGATGTGACTCGGTCAAAGATCAAAATAGAAAAACAGCACAACAAGACCGTTAAGAACCACTACGAAATTGCTTGTTTATTACCTCGATGACAGAGCCGGCAAGAAGAAGGAAATAGAAGAATCCCCTGCAGCGGCTGAAGAGGTGAGGCCATGGAATCTGAGAACCAGGAGGTCAGCGTGTAAGGCATCGATTGGTGGAGTGGGAAACACCCACCAGAATGTCGACTGCAGCAGCAACAACAATTATGGATTGAGGATTAAGGAAAGGAGAGTGAATTCTTGGCGGATGAAGAGTGAGGTAATGAAGTCGCGTAGAACGATGGAAAGAGGAGGACTGTCAGAAAATAATGAGAGGGTGAAGTTCTGTTACCACTAACGAATAAGGAAATCGACAAGGCTTCTCCGGAGTTGGTATTTCCTGGGTTGTGGTCAACGGAGGTTACAGTTGATACCTACAATGTGGAGATCGCCGAAAAGGAGGCTCAACCAAGAGACGAAGCAAGATTATTTTGGTTTTGGTTAATTACTGATTCGACAGAAGGACTGCATCTTCATGATGCGTGATGCTTCCTTCATCTTCGTTGTCGTCGTCGTCGTCGTCGTCGTCTTCTTTCTCTAGCTGTTTCGCAACAGGTTTCACAGCATCCATCTCTGTTGTAAGATTGTATGAAACCACAGCTACATGCAGACTTACTGGGAAGCGGCGCGTTCTATCCCTTGGGGTTAAAGACGAATTTATAAACCCTACCTCCCAAAACACCAAGAAGATGAATATATACCCAACAAGGCCGGCTTGTTCTTCTCTCTTGCATAATCCCCTGATCCAATTGTTCTTCATTTGGGTTCGGCCCTTTCAATCTTAAATCAATTGTAAGTTTTTATTAAATCCAACTCTTACCCATTTTCCTCTCTTCCACCAAAAACAACATTTTATAAAATTATTTTTGTGTCTAATACACATTCGGTTTTGATTGGATGTTAAACTCATTTATATGAGAAGTTTGTTTTCCACTGTTAATGTACGGATCTGTTAAAAAAAGATTACAATTTTTGAAATTTGAATCAATTTTTTTCGGTCTATAGTATCACATTTAATATTTTTAAATAAATATATTATTATGAGCCAATATAACCCTATATATTATACGACATATAAACTATTATAAAATATTTTATCATAATTAAATTAACTTTTTAGTTGTATTAAATATCAATAATTAAATAACATATAATAATTAAATAATATAATGTGTCACCTTTAAAACTCATTATATTAATATAATAATATCAATTATTATTTATAAATGATGAATTTTTAAATATTAACTGGTGTTAGTCAAATCATGATTAATTTTAGTAATAATTAAAGTGAAATTAATGTGTGTATACACATAATTATAAAAAAATTTATAACGAATTAAAAAATTCTGTCATCAAAATAAATTTTTATTCATTTTTTAATTTTCATAATAATTTAATACTTTTATCCTTTCTTATAATAGTTAAATAATCAATAACAAAAATAGAAACATCGTTCTTTAATACCAAATAATTAAATACATAAATAATATTTTTTAAAAAAAATTATTATAATTGTGCAATTTAAGCACATGAATTTGTCAAAAATAACATTATTGATTGTGAATCAATTAAATTTGGTTGATAAACAAAAAATTCAAAAATTAAATCTTATTGGCCGTATTGTTTATGATGTTTTATTTTAGTTATTAAATATTTTTTATTCTCGTTAAATTGATTACTATCTAAAAATACAAATTTTTCTGGAGTCAAAAAGTTTTCTTTTACATAACTTAATTTGTCTCGTATCATAAGTCATTGATCAAAGGTAAAAAATATGAGAGACCCAAATATATATACATATATAGATGATTTTATTATAATTTTGTCATGTTTAAATATAATATTAATTAAGCAATTCGAATTACTTACCAAAAAA